CACCAAAGCCCCCATAGCCGACTCAAACTGAAGCACCAGATCCTGAACCGCAGTCACAGAACCCTCAGAAACAACAAACAAGACTGTGTCATCCGCCTAACCACAAATCTTGAGGGACAAGCCATTCGATAAACTCGGCGAAACAACCGAATGACAAGCACACACCTCCTGAACAAACTAAATGTAGTCTACATTTAGCAACGTAATAGGCTGCCAATTTGCAAAAAAACGTAAGTCCCCCGGTTTCAGAAGAAGCCGCATAAGACCATCATTCAGCGAATCATACAGAATCAAACTCCGAAGACAAAATTGAACCACCTCCAAAAAATCGGCACCAAGCACATCCCGAAACACTACATAGAACTCCATCGGAAACCCATCCGACCCCGGAACCTTACCATGACGAAAGGACCGCACAACCCCCGAAAGCTCCGAAGAGCTAACCTCCTGCACAAGATCCACACAATCCATCTCCAACAACCCCGGGTGCACAGTGTTGGAGGAAGGATCCCATCAACCCCTCATCCCCCGCAACCGCCCCATACAAAGACTCCAATTCGCCACGCACATAATGCAAAACCCCCCCTGTGTCTGACAAAACCGAACTGTCCAGCCGATGAAGATCTGCCAATAAGACAGAGGCATGACCTACCCATTCCCTCTGTAGTAAAAACTGCGAGAGCTTCTCACCACACAACCGTTCCTCCACACCTGCCCGCACACATACCCCCTCAGCCCACAAATTAGATCCTTACACACCGAGATCTCCCGAAACCTATCTAAACCCTGATTGAGCAACCCATACAGGCGAAACAACCGTGCCTACAAGACCCGCAACAGACCAAACCTCCCCGCCGCCTCCCGCTTCGCCAACCCCCGAAAAAACGACCGACATTCCACTTTAGCCCACTCCCACCACTCCAGAACCGAGGGAAACGCCCCCTTCACAGCAGCCAAGACGGCCCACCAGGCCCTGAGCTAGGCACATACAACCGGGCACTTCAGCAACCCACAATTCAGCTTCCACCAGCCACGACCAACCCGCACCTGGCTGCGAATCCCCACCTGCAACACCACCATGCAATGGCCCGAGAACCCCACTGGAACCATCCGCAACGAAAAAAACGACCCACCCCCAGTAGGCACGTAAAAACAATCAAAGCGAGAACAAGCCCCACAGAAGACAAAGGTGTCCTCCAAAGGACCTCCTTGCAACACAGTCGCATCCCGAAACCTGCAACTCTTCAAGGTAGCAGTCAAAGCCGGCAAAATATTTGCTGGATGAAAACTATTGCTATCCCGCGCCAATGTAATACAATTAAAATCTCCCCCAAAAATCACCTCCCTCGAATTGTGCTGCAAACAATGCAGCACGTCACGGGAAAAGAATGTCTCCCGGTCCTGCCTCTGCGTTGCCCCAGATGGTGCGTACACGTTCAAGAGAGAGACCTCTGACCCCAAAAAGGTGACCCGAACTAACAGCACCCGACCACCCTTGTCCATCTCCATGTGAAGTACGGAAATAGGGGCCCGCTTAGAAAGCAGGATCAACGTACCCCCACGCAAACCACGCAAGGGATTTAACACCACCATAAACCCGTCAGCCAACACATGTAACAACCCCACCTGCACATTGTGGTCCTGCGCAAAAGCCACATCCACCCTACACTCACGCAGCATCGACACAAGTCCCAATTGCACAGCCACTGAACGCAAACCATTCACATTCTGTGAAGCACACGTTAATTTAGGATCCATTGGGAAACTTAAAACCCTATCTAACCACAAGACAGTCAGACCAGTCCGGCTAATACCCCACGCAGGGAAGTAGCAGCAACTGCCACTGGGACCCCAGGCATCGGAGACGCACTCCTCACAAGGGGGGGAAAACCAGAGTCCTTTCGCAACTTCACCACAAGGCTGCGATCATCATCGCCACAGTCCCCCTGATCCACCACCTCCCACTTTGGGCTCCGTGCCCCAGGCATCCCACACACGAGACCACCAGGAGGGTCCACAACACACCCTCCACCCCCCGGCACCGACGGAGCCACTACTGACACCGCCACACCCTCACCATCACATACACTCGCATCAGGCTCCAACCTCCACACCGAAGGCCTCCGGTTCCTGGAGCGACTACTCCTGACCGTCTTCCGGCGCTTGGTCTGAAAGCCAGGTTAAGGGCTCCACACCAAGGGCAGAGGCACACACCATTCCAGACGCACCAAAATCTGGCGTGACATTATTCACCGGTGATAAAACAGGGTCACGTCCTACCGAAGCATCAACTTCTATGGCGACGGCAACCGGAGGAGAATACACCTCCACATGCGTGACCACCGCATTACCGCCCACACCAGGGGGGCCCACAGACACCGGACCCGGCACCGGCACATCAGCACCGGTGGGGCGCACCACACCCATAACGCCATTATCACCGGCAGGGGAGGCGGAGGGGGGTTCAACCTGACAGGATCATCCACCAGATCCACAAGGCCATGTAGAGGCGGAAATCCTCTTCCCAGAAGACAGACCAACCAGACGGTGCCATTACGGCAACTTGCAGCCTGGTGTCCAGCCATACCACACTGAAAACATGTGCGCTCCTGTCCTGCATAAAAACATTGTACTTTGAACCCAAGTAGCACCATGCACGACGGGATCCCCTTCCTCAGCATCATGGTAATCGTGTGGGTACCAACCAGGACGCCACAGAGACTGCCAGACTTTACCACATTAGCCTGACAAGCGAGGACACTCCAATATCTCCCAAAGAACCGGCGGAGCAGGCTCTCCAGGAACTCAAATGGGAGCCCCTGTACCAATACAAATGTCACTGGAACGCATAAATCCGTTACACAAGCTGTACCCGCCGCGCCAGGCAAAGGTACAGTAAAACTCAGCAAACTTGTCCACCACATCCCAGTACACTGCAGCGTCAGTCAGCTTAACCAAGGCCCGACGGTCCCCAGCCAGCTGCACACCACACACATCTGCAGCATTAACACCCAGCACATCCAGTAGAGCTACCTCCAACAACGAGTAGTCCACCACACCAGAGAAAGCCAGCTCAATTGTGTGCACACGCGTCACAGGCGGCATAGGCTACACCATCCCGCCAGCCCACCAGGCCAAAGCCCACACAAAACGCCACCAGCTGTGTGTACGCCAAACGTCCAGCCAAGACTGAGGAGCGAATGTAAACAGAACTGCTCGGACTCCTGGTTCAACGTTGAAGCTGAGTGGATGTCTGGACACCTCCGCCTGATCACGTCTTGTTTTCGCGTTTTGGCTTTGCTACTGCCGTTTGGCATCCCTTTTCAGGGGTCCGATTGTACGACGCCTGGCGCACATATCACCTTGGGTCACAGGATTGTTGTTAGATTTTTTTTTTTTTTGACGTGTACTGGCTGGTTCTCCCGGCGGGGTGACGGTGTTCGGGGGCCGGCTTGGCCAGGAGGTGCCGGGGGTTGGCGGGTCTTGATGGGCTCCTGGTGTGCCCTCAGTCGCGGTGGGCGGCCGGCTTTTGCTCTGACAGAGGACACTGGATGACTTTTGCGTTTTGGTTGGGGGCAGAGTTTTGGCTTTGCTACCTGGTGTTCTCTGTGTGGAGCGGGGCCGGTGCTTGTCACCCTGAGGGACTCCTGGGGCTCCCCAAACATCTGCCTGACTGTGCATTTATTATCCGTATGGCATATTAGTTTCTAGTGATTGGCGTCACTCGTTTTGTGATTTGGCTTGGCGTTCCACCTTTCCAGGCTTCGCGATTCACCCTTAACGGGTACGCCGAGGCGCATCCGATCCCACGATCGTCGTCGCCCCTAAATCAACAACAAAAACAGAACTGCTCCGCACGGCTGCCAAACAGCCAATCTCAACATCTACTAGTGACAACACGTGAGGACGTATCGTCGCCATCCATAGCCACGAGGCCCATACCTGCATGGCTGTTTGCCAAGTGTCTCACTAGGACCCAAATTGAAGCCTACCAATCAGATAGGGCGACTGAGAACTCTAACTTCAGTAAATTACTCAACTAACACTTAGTATACATTTTCCTGTCAGTCGATAGTTCTCGATTGATCGGCTACAATTAATAACTCCCAAACTTGTTTAGGGAAATAAATGACTTGTGGCAGAATTTAAAGTCATATAGTCCACTTAATTAAACATATATTCCGCTAAACTATCGTAACAAATAATACATATATTAATTATCCATTGTATATTAGATAGAATTCATTAAATTAATCAATTAATTAATAATTAAAATAAATAATAAAAGCCCACGAGTCAGAATTCCCCACAGGAGCTCCGACAGCTCACGAACAGCAAGTAGCAGCCAACGACCCACAGCCAAAGCCAATGATACATGTTTTATGGGGGGTTTCTTACTAGTCTCCGTGGTGTAGTGGTAAGACACTCGCCTGGCGTTCCGCGAGCGCTATGTCATGGGTTCGTATCCTGGCCGGGGAGGATTTACTGGGCGCAATTCCTTACCTGTAGCCTCTGTTTAACGCAACAGTAAAATGTGTACTTGGTTGTAACAACGATTCTTCGCGGCGGGGATCGTATTCCAGGGACCTGCCCGAAACGCTACGCGTAGTAGTGGCTGTACAAGAATGTAACAACTCTTGTATATATCTCAAAAAAAAAAAAAAAAAGATGGAGACACTGGGATGTGTTCTGAGCTTGTGAGAAGACCAGGTGTTGTCTGGCACTGTGGTTGGGTTCCTGGTGTGTGTGCTTTGTCCGAAGATTGGATCAGGTCTGCCTGTTCACCAACTGCCGGACAGCTCAGGTGTGGGAGAAGACTTACCTCTCCTCGTCCGATCAGCGAAGTTAAGCACCGTTAGGTTTGGTTAGTACTTGGATGGATGACCACCTGGGAACACCAAATGCTGTTGGCAATATAAAGGGGAGTAGAAATAGCCTAAGCTACTCTATCCCTTTGAGATGTATTTCTTTCTTGTCTGAATAAACATACTTGAACTTACCTTTCACAGCCACGGACGACCGGGCAATAACTAACCGGGTAATGAACTCTCGTTCATATATGGATAGGAAAACCCAATGATACACCTTTCTTATGATATGATATCTCACAATGCTCTTGTGAAGTAAACAGTTATCTCACACACAGCCTTGAGTTCAAGTGACATGAACTATGTACGCAGCGAAATTCTCTCGATGCACTAGGACCACCCACCATGCTCTAGGACCACCCACCATGCTCTAGGACCACCCACCATGCTCTAGGACCACCCACCATGCTCTAGGACCACCCACCATGCTCTAGGACCACCCACCATGCTCTAGGGCCACCCACCATGCTCTAGGACCACCCACCATGCTCTAGGACCACCCACCATGCTCTAGGACCACCCACCATGCTCTAGGACCACCCACCATGCTCTAGGACCACCCACCATGCTCTAGGACCACCCACCATGCTCTAGGACCACCCACCATGCTCTAGGGCCACCCACCATGCTCTAGGACCACCCACCATGCTCTAGGACCACCCACCATGCTCTAGGTCCACCCACCATGCTCTAGGACCACCCACCATGGTCTAGGACCACCCACCATGCTCTAGGACCACCCACCATGCTCTAGGACCACCCACCATGCTCTAGGGCCACCCACCATGCTCTAGGACCACCCACCATGCTCTAGGACCACCCACCATGCACTAGGGCCACCCACCATGCTCTAGGACCACCCACCATGCTCTAGGACCACCCACCATGCTCTAGGACCACCCACCATGCTCTAGGGCCACCCACCATGCTCTAGGACCACCCACCATGCTCTAGGACCACCCACCATGCTCTAGGTCCACCCACCATGCTCTAGGACCACCCACCATGCTCTAGGACCACCCACCATGCTCTAGGACCACCCACCATGCTCTAGGACCACCCACCATGCTCTAGGACCACCCACCATGCTCTAGGTCCACCCACCATGCTCTAGGACCACCCACCATGCTCTAGGTCCACCCACCATGCTCTAGGACCACCCACCATGCACTAGGACCACCCACCATGCTCTAGGACCCCCACCATGCTCTAGGACCACCCACCATGCTCTAGGACCCCCACCATGCTCTAGGACCACCCACCATGCTCTAGGACCACCCACCATGCTCTAGGACCACCCACCGTGCTCTAGGACCACCCACCATGCTCTAGGACCACCCACCATGCTCTAGGACCACCCACCGTGCTCTAGGACCACCCACCATGCTCTAGGACCCCCCACCATGCTCTAGGACCACCCACCATGCTCTAGGACCACCCACCATGCTCTAGGACCACCCACCATGCTCTAGGACCACCCACCATGGTCTAGGACCACCCACCATGGTCTAGGACCACCCACCATGGTCTAGGACCACCCACCATGCTCTAGATTGTGTGAGGGTCACTAGTGACGTGTGAGGGGTCACTAGTGACGTGTGAGGGTCACTAGTGACGTGTGAAGGTCACTAGTGACGTGTGAGGGTCACTAGTGACGTGTGAGGGGTCACTAGTGACGTGTGAGGGTCACTAGTGACGTGTGAAGGTCACTAGTGACGTGTGAGGGGTCACTTTTATTGAAATCAATTATTGATCTCATTTTTGTTCTTTTAATTAAATTCATACTAATTATAAGTTAAAACTAAGCTTAATAAAAAATTTTATCTTTAAGATTATTTTACTTTACAATTATCATTTGTCAAATTTTTTTATATATTCATCTTGACAGTCTCTACTGATTTTTTGTTCTCTCCACCAAACTTGTGTATCCTCCATGGCTATCTAGTGACCTTAATTCTACCTCTAATTGTTTCAATTCTTTTGTTTACTTGCATTTATTGTTGTGTCTTGCCATAATTATTCTCTAATTTAGCAGACTCAATACTTTGTAAGCTCTTATTGTATTGTTATATTATTATATTGTTGTGTTTTGCTATAATTACTTTCTATTTTACAGCAGATTTGCTTTCATCTGTTCCTGTAACTGCTCATCTTATTGTATCGTGACATTCTTATCTATATTGATATATATTATCTATCTATTGTTACTTACAGTGTACCTGAGAGCACTTGTAAGCAATCTACCTCATTTTTCATTTTTGATCAATTTGTTTTTGTATTGCTTAGTCTTGTTTATATTTTTGTTTTGTATTTCTATATCTTTTGTTTTGTATAGTCCATGTTTATATGTTTTTTCTTTAATCTCATTTATTACCTAGGTTGCCTAGCCTAGCCATACTCCCTTACTCCATTGTACCCCTGTAAGCCCCTTTTGTGTTTGCTTTGCACAGTATTGTGTACATTTTTTTTTTTTTCCCCTATTTTATAGCTTATTTCTACCTTGAAATTTGCCTTTCTTTCCTTGTTTTTCCTGCAATCAGCTTTTTTTAATGCAGTCAAGTATAGACCCAGAACTTAATCTCTTATCCACTATCTATGACAATAATCACTTTAATGATCTAAATTGCAGATATTTTGCAGCACATGATGTAAACAATGTATTAACTCATAATCACAATATCTCTGTAATCAATTTGAACGTTAGATCCCTAGGTAAACACTTCGATGATGTTAGTGCCTTGATTGAAACTATTGACAACAAATTCTCTTTTATTATACTTACTGAAACATGGTTGAAAGAGGATACCACTCAACTCTTTAACATGCCTAACTACTCAGCAATTCACAACTGTCGTCAACTTCAGAGAGGTGGTGGCACTGCTCTTTACTACCACCAAGAACTAACATGCTTAAAAGAAATTAGAACTAGAGACTGCTATGGGGAGTATATCTTCGCCAGCTTCAGAGTCAAGGGTGCCGAGTCTGTCCTGTCTGTGGGTGCAGTTTATAGAATTCCTAACACTGATGTGTCCGAATTCAACTCAAACCTTAGAAATCTAATACTTGATAACAGACTGAACAAAAACCACCTAATTATTGCAGGGGACTTTAATATTGACCTCTGCGAGCCAGAACACCCTACTGCTGTTAGCTTCCTCAACTGTATGAACTCCTGCTTCCTCATACCCTTAATCACTAGACCTACTAGAATCACTGATAGCACTGCCACGACTCTAGATCACATCTGGACAAACATAACCTCTCCGCTTACTTCAGGTATAATCACCGATAGCACTACAGACCATTACCCCACATTTCTCTTAACTAACATTAGCAAACCACCTCTTGAGTCAAGAGAGATACGTTTTAGACTACACAATGAAACTGCTATAGACAATTTTATAACTGCTACTGATAATGTCAACTGGGAGTCCGAGTTAGGTAACATAGAGGACATCAACCTAGCAGTTCAATCTTTTCTTCAAAAAACTCTTAGCCTTTATAATACCCACTGTCCTATGCTTACAAAACAAGTCACAACCAAAAGGCTTAACAATCCCTGGCTTATAAAGGGAATACTTAAATCTATTAATAAAAAACATGACCTTGAGAAGAAGTATAGGTTAGGAATTGTCTCCAAAGAATTCTCAAAGAATTACTCATTATTGCTATCTAAGATAATTAGACGAGCCAAAACTAAATACTACGAAGATAAATTTACCCAAATAAAGAGCAACATTAAACAAACTTGGAGAACAATTTCACAAATATTGGGATCAAAGAAGTCTATAATTAACAAACCAACACTCCTGTCTAATAACGATGGTCAGCTTTCAGCCTCGGATTCTGCTATTGAGTTCAATAGGTTCTTCTCTTCCATTGGTTCATCCCTTGCTAATGATATTCCATCTTCCAGTACTGACATTAAGGACTATCTTACAGGTAACTATCCACAGTCTCTGTACCTAAAGCCTATTAATTCCACTGACGTCAATGAGATAATCCTTTCCCTTAAAACCAAGTCTGGTGCCCTTGAGGAGATACCAACTTTAATCTACAAAAAAGCCTCCAGATCTTTAGCCCCTGCTATTGCTTTGCTCTTCAACAAGTCACTTGAACTCCAAACCTTTCCAGATATTCTAAAAAAAGCGAGAGTAACCCCTGTCCACAAATGTGGTGATCTCACAGATGTTAACAACTACAGACCTATATCAATCCTGCCAAACTTGTCAAAAAATTTTGAAAAACTAATCTATAAGCAGCTTTACTCATATCTAGCCAAACTCAATATACTTAGCCCTTGCCAATATGGCTTCAGGCCCAAAAAAAGCACTAACGATGCACTTATTAGTATGCTTAACTCGATTCATACAGCTCTTGATCAAAATGAGTTCCCTGTTGGGTTATTTGTGGACCTGCGTAAAGCTTTCGATACTGTCAACCACCAAAACCTTCTTCTTAAATTACATCATTATGGTGTCAGAGGACACTCCCTACAATACCTCAAATCCTACCTTACTGACAGGCTCCAATGTGTTTCTGTGAATAATACAATTTCTCCCACACTACCCATCAACATTGGTGTTCCCCAGGGCAGCATACTTGGCCCTCTCCTCTTTCTCATCTACATTAATGACCTTCCAAATGCCTCCCAACACCTCAAACCAATTCTATTTGCTGATGACACAACCTTCATTTACTCCAGTCCTGATCCCCTTGCTCTAAATGCCACAGTAAATACTGAGCTTAATAAAGTCCATCTGTGGCTAACTGCCAACAAACTCACCCTTAACATTGACAAAACTTTCTATATTCTGTTTGGCAATAAACCCTCTAATCAAATAAATCTCAAAATAAACAATACCCAAATTTGTAACAAATTAGATGGCAAATTCCTTGGCATTCTCATTGACCACAAGCTGAATTTCCAGGGACACATTCTAAATATATAAAAAAAAGTTTCAAAAACTGTGGGCATTCTTTCTAAGATCAGATATTATGTACCACGCCCTGCCCTGGTGACTCTCTATTACTCCCTTATCTATCCATATCTCAACTATGGTATTTGTGCTTGGGGCTCTACTACCCAAAATCACTTACGTCCTCTAATTACTCAACACAAAGCTGCTATTAGGACAATATCCAATTCTGGCCCCAGACATCACTCGGTACCCCTACTCAAATCTCTGAATATGTTAGACATTAAGTCACTGCACATTCTCTCATGTGTATTATACATATATAAAACGCTAAACTATAATGCCAATC